CTTGGCTCTGGGTTTAGCACAGAGTTGGCTCACTATCAATTTCTCCTACATTCCTTCCCTCTGCTGCCCTTGAACCCTGACCCAGAATCCAAATATAGCCTCACCTGGTCCTCTTTTGCCACCGTGCCTCAACCCAAGCTGCTGTCTGGTCCCTGCTTCCTGTCATAGTTGTCGCTCTTGGGCTGCCACAAGACAGGACTGCCCTGCCCCCCCTGCATTGGGCCTAACTCTCCTCATTCCCCATGCCAGCCTCCCTGGGCTCATTTTGAAATCAGATGAGACAACAGGTGGAAAAGCTTTTTGTGGACTGTAGAGGGCTCTGGACATGTGAGGGGTTAAGGTAGTGTCTGCATTGGACACAGAGAGCCAAGGGGACTTGCCAGCAGTCCTGACAGAACCCTCTAGAAGCAGAATGTCCTTGGCCCACCACCTCCTTCAGAGCTGGCTAACACTCCTGCCTCTCCATCCTAAATGCCATTTCCCCTCCATCTAAATGCCATTTCCCCTGTCTGGGCCTGAGCCACTGCCTACTGTCTGGGGCCGCTGGAAATTTCTCAGATGTCGCTTTGATTTATGGCTCTAGTTAATTCTCCAGGAGGCCCGTGAGATGCCCTGAGCTCTGGAGCCTCAATGGGATAGATCATTTAACAGGTGGTTAAATATTCTTTAAGGTCTGAGGAACACAGGCAGGGTGTAGATTGGGGAGGGGGGCTCAGGCTGGGGGAGACTTGGCAAATTCCTCACTGGAAAAAGGGAAAACTACGTGGTCATTTCAGAACCCATGGGAGCAATTTGTCATCAGCAGTGGCTAAAGGCAGCACCTGTGGGCCCCTTCCTACCCTTGGGCCTGGGAGGCTGGGGGCCTGGGCATTGGAGGGTGTGGGGAGGTGGCAGGATGCAGAGGTGGCCTGCTGGGCCCTCTATGACCTGTGTGCTCCAGCCCTGTGATCTCTGTCAGGGGGTACCCACGGGACCCCAGAGGCTCTTGGATGGGAGTGAGGACTCTGACACCATCAAACTCAGGGCCAGACACAAAGGTAGCCGTATGATATGGCTGTCCACTCTAAGAAAGTAGGAGGTGGGGAGGCCGAGGGCCTACTGGACAGTGAGTATTCTGCCTAATGGCATTCAAATATGAGACTACAGCAGGCCAGCCAAACAAAACAGAGCTGGGCTCTCACACAGAGACCCCAGAATTATGCAATCCTTCTATCACACGTTTCAAAGCGCTTTGCCATCCTTGATAACATTTAACCCTCACAACAGGCTCAGAGGTCAGCAGGGCAAGGGAATATGACCCCAGTGTACAAAGGAGTCAATGAGCTCAGAGAGGCTGAAATCCTGCCAGAGGCAGCACAGCTGGCTAGAGGCCAAAGGGAATCAGGCCAGGGGCTGGGAGAATGCAGCTCACCTAGAGGGGGGGAATCAGGAAAGGACCCCAGAGATCACTATGTGCAAAGCACCCAGTTTACAGATAAGGAAACAGGTCCTGAGAAGGGCAGAGACTGGCCCAAGGGAAGGACAGAGGTAGAGATGGGACGAGGCCTCAGGCAGAAGGCTTGAGGGTAGATGCCTGCCTACCCCCACCTCCGACAAGTGTTCTCCCCTTGGGACCTCAGTTTCCTGTAAATGAAGGTTGCTAGTAGAGTCTAGGGAGGCTGGGAAAATGGAAGTGACAGTAGCCAGGGTGGGAGGGGAGGGAGGAGTGGGAGACCCTCCCCGGGACACCTCCCCTCCCTCCATCCCTGGCCTCCCAGCTCTGTGCTGTACCCTGTGCTCACATGTTCTTCCTGGCCCCCACCCCCATCTGTCCAGGGCAGCCCCAGGGTGCTGTGTCCAGGCTGGAGTGAGGCATTGCTTTATGCTGCAGGAGAAAGTATCCTCTTGGGCTAGGGCTGGAGGAGCAGGACAGGCCTGGGCTTCAGACCACCCCCTTGGCTGAGCCTGGATCAAGATGGCCAGAGGGACCATCCCCAGAGAGGCAGATCTGCTTCAGGGCATCTGGGCTGGGGGTGGGCTCCGGGCATTCCTGGGAGTGACTCCTGCCCCAGCTCTCTAGGCAGGTCAGAATGCACTGGAACGGCTCAAGTGGGCACAGGGCCCAGGCAGGTATGGAGTAGCCTGCCCTCACTCTCACAGCCCACCTGCTTCCTATTAGAAAGCTGCAGGGCGGGAGCCGTTCAGGTGGATAAACAGGGGGTTCTGAGAGCTCATGAGGCAGTGGAGGAAGCCCAAGTTGTGGGAGTGACACTGGCTTTCAGAACAAGGCCAGTCATCCCTTCCTTCTGCTCCCACCAAGCCCTCAAGGGGGCCCTGGAACTGCCATGGACAAGTGCTGGGGAGGATCCCTAGAGCATCTGCTGTGTGTGTGTGTGTGTGTGTGTGTGTGTGAGAGAGAGAGAGAGAGACAGTCAGGCAAATGTCACACCGTGGTGCCCATGCCTGCCTCTCCAGCCCACAGTGACCAGTGCTCTGCAGTTGCCTGCTTGTGGTCGGATTGGGAGTTTATTGAGCCTGTGGTTACTCTCTCTCCCAGGCCAGTGCCCTCTGTGGCTGGCGGAGGTCTTGATCCCTGTCCCACACCTGGGGTTACATGGCATAGAGCATGTCAGAGTAAGCCACCTAATCCAGAAGTGTTGTGAGAGAGAGAGGGAGGGGCCCAGGGTCCCCCAATAAGTGGCCAAGTCCCCCTTGGGCCCAGGTCAGGGCTGAGTATGCAGTGAGAGGCAGCACTGGTGCATTCCCCCCAATCTGGATGCCCGTCTTCTGAGCCATCCCACAGCTCTCTCTTACAGCAATGGAGGATGAAGGAATACATCACCGGGGGCTCTAGCTTTATGAAGTACTCATCTGACTCTGGCCTCCAGGGTAATTAACTCACACCAACACTGTGGAGCTTCAACAGCCATTAGCACACTGTCCCCAGCACCTCCATCAAACTGTCCACCTGGATGGGGCTTCCTGGGAGGGACTGGCTGAGTGGAGCCCAGGGCGTGTGGGGTTTTGGTTCTAGCACTTGGGTTCTCAGCCTGGGGGAAACTGTTGCTCCTGGATTTTGCAGCAAGCTAGAGGGCTGCAGGTTAGATGCTTAGAAGGACTTCCAGAGGAAGCGGTTGAGTATGGTCCTCAGCCTCCAGGGCTGGGGGCACTTTGGACATCTTTTCTCCTTTTGTAGCCAGAGGCACAAGGTCCAGTGTAGGGAAATTGCTGACTCTAAATCTTGCTGCTTGTCACTGGCAATGAGGGGAGCCCCACTCTAGTGCCTTTTGCATTACTTAGGCTTCTGGACTAATTAGGCCTTGCCCCAAGCCCAGGAATGTTGCCAATGGGGCGCTGAGAAATAGCAGAGACACCCGTCCATGGAGGGGTGAGTACTGGGGGACCTAGTTCACCCTACCCCAGGCTGCCCACCCCGAGGGTGCCTGGGAAGGTGGTCTGGCCTAGGGGCGAGGACCGAGGGTGCAGGGAGGCATAGCCCCCACCAGGCCTGGTTCTACTAACTCAGCATTTACTACTCACCTACCTGTTTCTGCATCGTCCTGGTTCTCCAGAGCACCCCGGCTGACGGGGGCTGGGCAGGCTGGGCAGCTCAGAGCTAGGGTGAAGAGAGCACAGGGGTCAGGCCCAGGGAGGAAGCTGCAGCCAGCACCTTCTCTCAGCCTGGGCTGCGGGCGCACTCCAGCCTGGAGCTGTTGGCTGTTTGGGAGATTCCTCTCCCCAGCTATAGCCAGAGATGGGGATGAGTTGGGGGAAGGCAGTGCCTTGAAATGGAGTTTAGAGTACAGGGAGGCAGTGAGCCCCCAGATGACATCCAGCCTCAGACAGAGTAGCAACCCCACCAGGCCCCCTAATGGCTCATCACACCCCTGTCCCTGTTCAAGCTTTGCCCTCTAGAAGAGAGCCTCAGGACAGGCCTTTCCAGATTGTGAACAAACACACATCTGACCACAACAGGCCCCTCCTCTAGGAATCTTTTCCTGATCCCCCTTCTTTCCCTTCCCCACTCCCAGTCCCTGCCTGGGGATGGGGCCAGATGTCTCTCCTCTGGGTTCCCAAGACACCCTTGGCATTAAAATGGCTTGTGCACCTGAGTCATCCAAGCAGCCCTCCCCAAGCATCTAGCACGGTGCCGGTCTAGAGCAGGTGCTCCAATATCAGCCGCTGAGTCTGCAGGCAGGCTGGAAAACCATGGTATGGTTCGCACACCTGTTGGTTGTTGACCTTGGCCAGATCACTTTACGTGTTTAGGGTCAGACTGAGCTACTGTTTTTCAAACTTTTTTGAAGTGCATGTAATATCAGGACACGATATATACAACATACGTATCATAAAACCAAAACCAGAAAATTTTGGGAACTGAGACAATACTTTGTGAACTGATGCTCTTATTGTACAGGTTATACTCTGATATTTTGTGTTCTCGTTCCTTTTTTTTTGCTTTTGTTCCCTTAAAATAAGGCTGGTTGCAAACCATGAAACGACCCTCCCATTCATGGGTGGCAAATATTGCCTGAGATGGTCCCAAGCTTCTCTGCTGCTTAGTGCTCCCCCAAAGCCTTCCTAATGCCCCCAGCAAAGATGTGGCTTTTACCTACCAAGACACAGATGCAGCAGCATGTTTGTGCCACTGACACTGCCTGTCCTCGGCCTTGTCCTAGCCTGAGACATCCTGCCCAGCCTTAGGGCTGACACTGTGTGCCTCGGCCTCAGGAATGAGGCTTGAGGGAGGCAAGGCCCAGTCTCCAGCTGTCTGGGAGAGATTTCAGCCAAGCCATGCGTGAAGGCCTCAGTTCAGAATAAAGGAACCTCTGCCAGGCTCCCAGAGCAGCCCTAAACCTCATGCTCCTGCCCTCAGCCTGGTTGGGAGCGTGGCGAAGAAGTTTCTGGAAAACACTTCCTGCCCTGGGTCCCGGCCTGGAGATACCTCAGCTCTCCTATGCCCCAGTCTTGCAGGGACCTCAGTGGCTGCCCTCTACCAGCCCAGGTTCCCTCTAAGAGGGAAAGGGGGTGCAATTAGAAATTACAGGGGGATGACAGACATAAACCAGGGTGGCTGGGCAAACCAGGATGAGCAGTGACCCAGCGGGGCAGCCCCCCTCCCCACCCCCCAGGTTCAGAAGCAGGGACGCAGCTCACTCTGCACAGGCTGAGGAGGCTGCAGACGCCTTACACCAACCTCCTGCCTCACCTTAGTGGGCTTTGCTGCTCTCGGCAATGTAATACCTCTCTCCTCACAGACTCCATTGACCACTGGGCCCCTCCTCCTGGCTGACCAGCCCCTAATGTTGTGTGGGTTTTAAAGTGAACAATGATTGGTGGAGGGGCGGCCATGTGACCCAGTTCTCGCCAGTGAGATGTGAGGGGAGGGCTGCTGGCACTTCCCAAAAGGATTTTCCTGATAAGGAAAGCCCCTGGGAGAAGAGGCTCTGTGCCCTGAATCTGGCTTTGGCTGTCTGGGTACCAGGGTGAGAGCTCAGACAGAGCTCCATAGCTCTATCATGGTGACCCCAAGGAGGACAGAGCAGGACAATGGTAGGAGCCCGGGTCTTGGTGACGCAAATCCTGAGCCGGCTGAGTGAGCTTGTGCCAGTCACACATATGAATTTGCTCCACAGAGCCAAGTGTGAGAGACCCTATTGGTGTTGCCTGCCCAATATCCAGTTCCCCTTCCTCCACTAAGAGCTGTGAGGCATGAGCCCTCTGCCTCTCTTAGTATGTGGGTTTGTGTGAGTGCCCCCGTGTGTGTGAGCGCATGTGCGCACGCATACACACACACACACACACACACACACACACACACACACACACACACACACACACACACACACACACACACACACACCACGGCTCCTGATCTGGGCCTGGCCCATCAGCGTTTTCTTCTTCCTGGCCATTGTGATTGGTTCAGGATGAGCACATGACCTAGTAGGACCCCTGATTCTCAGTTATGGGGCTTCTGCTGGGGCTTGTGGGACAGAGAAGTTTTTGCCTCCACTGGGGTCTCTACGCTGGGACTTCTAGGATCCGGAGCTGGATCCTATCGCCAACTTGCCACCCTGGGAAGAACCCAGGCACATGATGAGGACAGAAAGTCTGAGCCCTAGGGGTGATATTTAGTGTCCTGCACTCAGTCCTATCCCTGGATGTCCCAGGGGTGTCAGCCAGTAAAAGTCACAGTATGTTTTGAGGGAGAGGGTTTAAGCCGTGGTGTGTTAGTAACAACAAGCTTTCCAGAGGAAAGTCCTGATGTGTAGTGTTTGCTAATTCCCACTGTGTAAATACTCCTACTGGGGCTGATTCAAGCTACCAACTGGATGACACTGAACGTGGAGTTGGGAAGAGAAGTCTCTTCCAAGTCCCTGCAGACCAGTTCCTGTATACAGCTGGGTGTAAGCCTTTCTGGCCAGGTTTCCTGTCATTTGTGACCAGAATAATCTCACCTGTGTACCCAGTCTCACTGTCTGGGAGGGAACTCCTTCTGGGCTGTGCCTGGGCTCCCCATGCATTCATTGTAACATGGGGGCACTCCTAGTTTCTCTGGGCTGTGCTCTGCTGCTTTTGGGCTCTGGGGGAGGCTGTGAGCCCCTGGAAGCCCCCCTACAGCCTAACCAGAGGCTCTGCCTCCTTTCCCCAAGTCCCACCAGATACTAGCTCATCCTGAGCTCTGACAAAAGGCAGAGCAATCTGGGCCTTCAAGCAGCTTCTGCTCTCTGCCTCTACTGCCTGGGACCTGGTTGCTCGATATTTTGTTTTGGTTTGTTGTGGGAAGGGGACATAGGGAGGCTTGAATGAGCAGAAGGAATGCAGAGTGATATCTAATTGTTCTGTTACATGGGGCAAAACCAGCATCTCCCTTCCCCAGATTATTGAATTAGATGAGATCGTGCAGAGTGCTCGGGTGGGAGCATCACGTGTGTGCAGTGCTCCATTCCTGCTGACCCGTACTGTTTTCTATGTTGCTCTTCTGTCTGTACACCCCCCACTGCCCTTCTGACACCCAAATCCCACAACCAGCTCTTCCTACAGCTTCCCCATCTCATTAAATGGTAGCTCCATCCTTCCAGTCAGACCCAATCCTGGGAACTGTCCTCAACTCCTGTCTCACACCCCACACCCTGTCCATCAACTAGCCGCCAGCTCCACGTCCAGATGTAAGCCGGGTCTGATCACCTCTCACCGCCTCCATGGCTTCCCCCTCTGGTCTGGCTGCTCCCTGTCTCTCCAGAAGGACTGCAACAGCCTGGCCTCACTGCTCCCACCCTTGTCCCACACTCAACACAGCAGCTGAGTGATCTTGTTAAACCCAAGTCAGATCATGCCAATTCTCTACTCTAACACTTGCAGTGGCTCCTGTCTTCAGAGTCAGAATCTGAGTCCTCCCAATGGCCAACAGGGTTCTGTGAGATCTGCTCCACCCTCAGCCCTCTGGTTCCCCTCCTGCCTTTCCCGCCTTGCTCACTCTGGTCCAGCCACACCAATTACACTCCACCTCTGCGTCTTTGAAGGTGTTGTCCTCTCTGTCTGAAACCTTTTCACCCAGAGTTCTCCCAGCTTGGTGCCCACAAGTTGTCATCTCAGGAGGGCCTCCCTGCATCCCTGATCACTCCATCTCCATCCCCTCTCCTGGCCTCCTTTGCTTCCCCCATTGTTGATCACCATCTCTTTTACCTCTGTGTTTGACAAATTATCTGTCCACCTCTCCTCCATCATTCCAGGGTTGGGCAGGGTGACCAAGTTACTTACCTCACTGAGATGACACGTTCCTGGCTGTCCCGGTGCTAGACGGGTCAACTCAACTCACAAACATTTAGCCAACACCCATGATATGCCAGGCAGTGTGTTGGTACCAGAGAGCAGGGGAGGCCTAGGAAGACGAAGAAGGATGCACCCCAGCCTGGAGGGAGGGGCAGAGGAGTACTGAAGAGGGGAGGAGCCTGGGTGAGAGAGCTGCAGCAGGCCCCACCCCACCCTCCAGTGGCCAAGTTTCTGGTCTAGGTTCTGGGGGTTTGGAGGTGATGTTTGTCATTCTCTTTGGCCACCCAGATCCTAAGAAGTTGGGGAACCTCCCCTGTACAAGTACCCATCTCCCACTATGGGAACACTTGCTTTCCGAGACTCCCTTGCAGCCAGGCCACAGGCATGTGACCCACATCCTACCAAACAGAAGCAATGACCCAAGAGGTGGCTTCCCGAGCAATCCATTGTGGTGAGGACGCCCCTGGAGCTGGGCTGCTCAGTCTGACCTCTTCTTGGTGAGAGAAGAGACAGGTTGGCCACATTAGGATGTGGAGCAGTGGAGGCTTGAGAGCCGTGGCAGAGTGGGGAGCCTCTCCTGGACTGGGAAGCGGCCCAAAAGGCAGGCTTCTTTCTGTAGCGCTCCTGTCCTCCAGTTTTTTTTCCAAGGCTGACCCCACTCAGGGCCACTCAGTAGTTGCAAAGATGGCTTCCAGAAGCTCTAGAAGTTGTGTGCTCCCAAGTTCCTTTATGCAGGAAGAGACTAGCCAGTGTCCTAAACCACATTTCAGTTGGACTGTATAGATGCAGGCCATGAGACTAGCCCTGACCTAGCCACTGTATAAAGCATTCGGTTGGCTCAGCCAGGTCACGTGGTCCAGCCCAGGGGTATCATGCACCTCCCGGACCTCCAGGATCCCCCAGAGAGCAGAGGCTCTTGGGAGCAGGGAAAGGGGGAGGGGACAAATTGGGGGAAAGAACTGGTGTTCACCATGGACCCAGGGGCCACTCACTAGGGTCTCTTCTCTCCTCTCTCAGCCTTTCCTTCTGCCCTGGGGGAGTGGGTGCTAAAGGG